TGTGTGTGTGTGTGTGTGTGTGTGTGTGTGTGTGAGGTTGTCAAACAGCAGAACAGGTGAGGAGGACTCTGGGCTTCACACGAGGGACGGGATGTTCGCTCCCACACGTCTACTTACTGACAGTGGCGACGGCCGCAGAGCGTTGGAGCTCCAGGCCTGAATGCAGCTGGCCTGCCCGCTGCCGGGTGCCTGCCCTGGGGCAGCGGGCTGGGACTGGCCCAGGGCAGAGGCTAATGCTAAAGGAGCAGCAGGACCTGGGGCCTGATTTGTGCCTGGACAAGGCTGCGAGCCCTGTGGGCGTGGAGGGAGGAGTAACAGGGACCCCGAGGATGGAGCAAAGAATTGTGGGAGATTTGATAGAGGAGGTGTGGGAAGGAAGCGAGGAATGGTCCGAGGCACAAGTAGAAGGAGGTACATGAGGGAGACAAGAGTCAGATTAAAGCAACTAAGAGAAGATAAGAAAGAAGCTGAAGAGGAAGATCGACTATAAATAAACATAACTGAATCGTCATGGCAACAGTTTTAAAGGAGACACGTGGTATTTCTCAGTTTTTCTTTCTTCTTGTGTGAAAGTTTTATAAGAATATACAAGTTCTGCACAGAGAGGTGTTCCCTGTGCTGGAGCGAGCAAACACTGACAGTCATCACACTCAAACGATCCACCTGAGGATGAACAGAACACGTCTCCTTTAAATAAAGTTAAATAAGAGTCTCATCTAAACTACGAGGACACAAAGAGTGACAGGGACATTTTAAAAAGGTGATCACTTTACAAGGGACGCAACATCCAGAAATATTGGTGTGTGTGTGTCTGTGTGTGAGTGTGTGTGTGAGTGTGTGTGTTCTCGTACCTGTGTGAAGATGAGCGTCTCTGAGTTGCGGCTGTCCAGACTGAGGACGAAGCGGATGGACTGGAACAGTTCCTGGATGCTGGTGCGAAACTGCTCCTCCTCCATCCCACACGTGGCTCGAGAGTAAAGGATCCTGGACTGAACGATGAACTTGAACAGATACTCCAGAGCCTGAGGGGGGACGACGGTGCGAGACACAAAGACACAAAGACAGAAACATTTACTCAGAATCTGTCGTCCTAATGTTCTTGTTATGCCTCCGCACCGGTGACACCGAGGGGGCGGAGTCATTGTGTTGTCCGTCTCATTCTGGTGAACACGAGATCTCAACGGATGAAGTGACGACTTCATGCAAACGTGCACCTTTTAGCTTTTTACTGTAAATGCTTCTATCAAACTCCAACTGCTGCTTTCTTTAACTGCCATTTACTACATCCTGTGAATCATGTACATGACATCACTTCCATTAAAGTATTTTTGTACCATTCCAACATGTGCGTCTCTTATCCTATCCACTGTGTACTTCATGTTTACTTGTATGTTCAAACACTTAAACCTCGTCTATGTTCTGCACATGAGGCAGAATTAACCACAAAGTCGAGGTTTCAGAGCTCAAAGGTCAAAGGTCACGGTGAACTCATATTATTATAAATGAAATATTTCATGAGCACACACACGGACAGGAAACACGCTGGTTGGCTGAGACATGGATACAAACTATATACTAGATACTGCTTGGTGATTTATTCTGTTTCATCAAAAAGTTTAGCTCAGCTGATGCAACATGATGCAACAGGAAACACACACACTCACAAGTTTTCACCTTTAAGCGCTGAGATCAGTTCCTCATGAAAGGTTCAGTGTGAAGAATGTAGTGACATCTAGTGGTGACATTGCACGTTGCAGCTGAATATGGCTGCCTCCGTAGAGAGAACTTCTGATGTAATTTTAAGGTATTTATAAAGTATTTAAATACAAAGTATGTAAATATAAAGTTTTTTAAATTTAAAGTATTACGTCTCCTTTCAGGGTAAAGAACAACAACAATTCATACAATTTAGATGAAACAAGTGAAAACGTCTCTCGGATTATTTTATATTTCTGTCGATAGATAAATCTTATAAACTGGACTTTTAAGAACATTTGAAGAAATTCCCTCAAGACGTTCTTCATACGTCGTGTTCACAGCGATGGGACGGACAGAACCTGTCGCTGGGACATAATAATATAAAAATGTCTCTAACTTTCTTGTGTGTAGTTTTTTTCTTGCAGCCTGGGGTTGTTTGAATACAACACAATGACGACACAGCTGTTGAGCTTTCACAGAATCCACCAGGTGAACATACAACAACAGAACGTCTCACCCTCATGGCTTCCTGGATGTGGTCCTGTCTGACCACCTCTGCAGAGCGGTCCATGTACCACCTCAGACAGCGGATCAGCTCCCTGCAGCAACACAACACCACTTAACAACACGCACTTTATCAATGAAGAGACGCTCATCTTCACACATTTGGAAGTTTAGTCGTGTTGACGTCCGTTTAAATGTCAAACATCTGAATGTCGTTTAAAACGTCCACACGGTTTTATTTAGGAGTCAGAAAACTTTACCAGCTCACAAGAACAAAGAATGCATCTGTGCTCAGAGGAACAGTTTCTGTTCTCTGTGACTCGATCTGAGCTCAGAACCCGAGAGACATCGAAGCCCGAGAGGACAAAGTGTCAGAGATGAAAACACTCACTTGTAGGCCAGAGCTCCAGCAAAGTGTTTCTGAATGTACGTGTCCATCACAGGTCTGAAGTGATAATATTTACTGTCCCTGAGCAGGTTGATGATGAAAACCTGAGAAAAAGAATCATTCAATTCATGAAGAGTTTTACTGAGGCCCCCCCCACCCCCCCACCCCCTCTCTCCGTCCCTCTCTTCCTTCCTTCCTTCCTTCCTTCCGTCCTCACACACACACTTACCAGTGACTGGAACACCAGAGGTCCATACTTGTCTGTGTTGTCGTCTAAGATGGAGAACAACGTGTCCAGAATGTCTTGTAGAAACTGTCACAGACACACACACAGACAGACAGACACACACAGACCCAGTGAGTCAGATTTATCTTTTATCTTTATCTCCATCCTCCGCCTGACGACACCTCACCTTGACTATCTCTTCTCCGCTGACGTGTCGGAGCCGGCCGAGGATGTCCATGACCCGGTCCGGATGAGCCTTCCACTTGAGCAGAGCCAGGAGGTCGACTGAAAGACGACAAATATGTCCACCATCAGAATCAACGTGCATTAGGACGTGAACCGCGGTCCGGACATTTTCCTGTCAGTTGCTCTGGAACTGAACTTGCACAACAATCACGACATATGATGCGTTCATCGTGCTCCTCTGCATGAAGGAAACTTCTCTGTAGTATTATCGTAGTATTAGTACTGGTATTGTATGTATTATTATTGCTGGTGCAGGGGTGCTGGCCCGGTACCGTTCTGAGTGAGCTTGGTGGAGGACAGCTGTGTGGAGATCCAGAAGGTCTCCTTGGAGCTGCGCTGGAAGATGAGGCTGGAGGGGATGCTGGGACAGCTGTTGAAGTCGTCTTTACAGCAGGGCAGGCCCAGGTAGAGGGCGTGGTTACTGAACGTCGTGTTCTCATCACACTGAGGTCGGGGGGAGACAGAGGACGGTAAATCCTCACGTCATGGGTTCGTACCTCGAAGCTTCAGACTGGTTTCTGTCATTTCTAGTTGTTAGTATCTAATGTTCAAAGACCCAGACCCTGTGTCGGCCTTCAGGTTACGTACAAACACGGACGACGGTGATAATACACGAATGGAATCATTGTAAATCCTGAATTTTCATTTCTGTTATGAAAAGTTCATCGTTTGAAATGATATTAAAACGTATATTGAAAATTTACTGTGCGATTAAATGTTTCTTAGGATAAACTAAACTAAGCTCAATTCAGATAGAACTTTATACGTCAGAACTCACGACTACAAACTGGAGGTAGAACACAGAGCAAGTAAAAGGGCAAAAGAGAAATAAATAATAATAAAGGCAATAAAAGAAAACAGAAGATGAAGGAACATAGAGATATTTACATCGTATGTAATTATACTTGTGTAGTATCGTAACAATGAGAGAACGTCTGACCTTGTAAACGTAGAGTTCGTGGCTCTCGTCTGAAAGAGTGGTTCCATCCTCCCTCATCAGAGGAGTGAAGGCAAAACCAAACAGCTTCTTCTCTCCTTTGTCTTTTGCTGCAACGAGAGAGGAGACGAGAAACGACACGAGAGACAGACAGAGACACAGAGAGAAGACGTTTATCGAATCTTCTCCGACTTCACTTTGATTTCTAGTTTTGATGATTTAAGAAGAAAAAGTAAAATCGGCTGGATTTCAGATTTTATTCTTAGTTTTTTACTTATTTCAGTTTGTTTTAGTGTTTTCAAATATTTGTTACTTCCAGTTTTGCAGAGTCTGTCTCTCACACGGATAATAAACATCTGTTAAACTCCTCCATCACCAGCATCGCTGCAGGGAGCACGGAGTCACTCACTGGAGCAGTGTCTGAACTCGAAGCGGATGTGGGACCCTCTGAAACGGTCGATGGGGATCGGTAGTTTGATGACTTCACTCCAGCGGGGGCTGTTGTTGTGGTACAGCACGAAGGAGCGATGCTCGGGCACGTTGGGCTCCCCTGAACCTACACTGATACAGTCCTGCAGGGGGAGGTAGAGAGGGAGAGGGGGAGATTTATATAAACTTTGGCACAGACCCTCGTCCACACCTTCATCACCCCTGACGATGGAGTCCTGTCCTGGTCACCTAGCAACAACCTGGAGCGGCTCCACCTGAACCGAGCCCTGACAACACATCAGCTCGTTCAAAGAGGCGGTTGTGTGCTAACGTTCAGAGTTCGATTTATTCAGAATCGTTTTTAAAATCCAACTTTATTACAGTGTGATAAGAACTACCAAACAATTCTTTTTAACGTCTTTGCCCAAAATGTTTCGTCCACATTAGGCGATAAAATGGAGTCGAAACAGATGAAAGCTCACAGTGACATCAGACACTGGAGGGCGGAGCTGCCGCGCTCTTTTCTCACCTTGAGGATCTCTCCATCGGCATAAAGCACAAAGATGGTGACTTCAATGTTCTTCTGAACGCTCTTCCCTCCTCTCTCAAAATCCCCTCGCTCCAGCGTCAGGTACAGGTCGTTCCGGATGTCACCTGAGACCAGAACAGACATGATTGGTTATTTTAAACTCTTATATCAGAAAATAGCCAACAATTCAAAATACCTACTCACAATGTTTTCTTTTTTCACACACAGATTATTATCGTCATAACCTGAAGATAACTTGAATTATATGAAAAGACATTTATGGAAGCAGATGTTTTCTCACACACTGAGAGCTGAACACGTCTCACACACACGACACTAATGACCCGTGTTCACGTGTGCGGAGTCATTTATCATTTCAGCTCGTCCTTACAGAGGAGGCGTCTCCATTAATGTGTGAAGATGGGAGTTTAATACGTTCCCCATCTCTGTCCGGGGGGAGGAGTGTGTGACATGTTTAATGTATGTGAAGGTGTGAAGGACACGGCTGCATGTGTGTATACGTGCTAAAGAGCTGCAGCCCTGCACTTGATGGTAAGATGCTTTTTCTCTGAGGACTCGTTCACACCTGGTTTGTTTCAGAGCTTCAGACTCTTCCGTTCAGTCTGAAGCTGAACATCTGGATGATTATATGATATGAGTTCTGGGTCTGGATCAAACTGAACCATGGTTCTGTTGGTTCACAGTGGAAACACTTTGTTGGACACAGTAGAAGAAGAAGAAGAAGCAGCTTCAGTCTTCACCTCCGACGATACAATGTTTGAACCACGAGGACGTTCAGGTGCCTGAAGGTGCTGAAGGTGCTGAAGCTGCTGAAGCTGCTGAAGCTGCTGAAGCTGCTAGTAATACCATCATGATGTTACTGTAACACACGTCCTCTTCGTGCCTCACACCCCAGGACTCTCTGGGAGTCGTGCTGGGAGAAGGACCTAAGACCTGCGTAGTCATTTATTGCTCCAACACCTTGCAGGGCAGTAAAGTAAACTGAGAAACGTGGCTCTGCACACGGGGCACATCTCAGAGCGACGTGTCCCAGCGAGTGGCTGGATTCTCCAGAGGGTAAACATCGCTACCCACCTTACATCCGCCCCGTCTTTAAGTGATGGCGTCAGATAAATCTAAGACCACCCTTTACCACAGGCACCACAACAAACAGCCCCATAGGCCTCCATTCATTCTAGACTAACTCGTGAGCGCCCCCTACACAACCCGGACGCTCTACCTGTGTTCCCTCTCGCTACAGCTCTACCTGCCGTGAAGGTCTATGACCCTCCAAACAAAGTCTCTGCACAGATGTTAACAGATGCTATAAGACATGGACTCAGTTCTCCGCCTCCTCGCTCTGCTGCATCTGAGAACCAGGTGAACTTCCTGTCCAGACTCGTTGGGGAACACGTTGGGGAACATGTTGGGGAACACGTTGGGGAACACTTTGGGGAACACGTTGGGGAACACGGGACTCACCGGGCATGATGACATCTGGGAATCCCAGTTTGCGTGTGATGGCCACGCCTCTGCTGAAAATGAGAGGGTTCTCCCTGCGGACCTGCTCCATGTCGCCTCTCAGCAGCTGGAGAGAGATGATGAGGCCTGAGAGGGTGGAGGGAGAGAGGGAGAGAGGGAGAAAGGGGGGGAGATGAAAAGAGGATGGGAGGATGAGATTCAGGATGAAATGGGGAGAAGAAGGTAAGTGCGGAGGTATAGAGAAGAGTGAAGGAGAGAAAGAAGTAAAACAACAGAGCTGGAAGTTGATCAAACTAAATTTAAAAACACTGGTTACACACACACACACACACACACACACACACACACTTGTGTCATGACCCATTTGATGTGAGTCTCTCTCTCTGTAGGTTTCAGCCACGAGGACACGAGGACACGAGGACACGAGGTCACGAGAGGCGGCCCGACGCCTCCAGTGACACAAATTAACTTGATTCTCCAGCCGATGTCAAGTGACGACATGAACATCAGTCAGACTGCAGCCGCTCTCCAGGCTGAACGAGTCGCTCCTGGGAAGTCTGTGTTTGTGACTGACATTATGAGTGTGTGTCACAGACACACTCACACACACACACACACACACACAGACAGACACACACAGTTCCGTACCATAGTTGGTGCTGGGAGCTGTGTATTTGGTGCTGGACTTGCGGATGATGTTCTCATGGATCTGGTACCATTCGTTCTCATTGTTACACCTGGAGAACCACGACGACAACAACAACAACAACAACAACAATAAATAACTAACAAAGCAGGAAACATATTTAACAAACATTCACAAAACAAATCTGTGTGTGTGTGTGTGTGTGTGTGTGTGTTGCAGCCACGTACGTGTACACTTTCAGGACAAAGTCTTTCTCCTCCTTCAGCTCAGAGATGGTCTGCAGGACGTCACTCATGGCCAGGACGGCACATCCGTACGGCCGCCGGTATTGAACGTGTGGCGGACCTTTCTTACTGTCGTTCAGCAACATGCGACCTGCAACAGGAAGTGTGTTGTCGTCATATAGTGAAAAATACTGGACACACACACATATATATATATATATATATATATATATATATATATATATATATATATATATATATATATATATATATATATATATATATATATATAAATAACATGTGTCCCTCACCTGTTCTGATGACTTGTGACACGATGTACAAATCTCTCTTCATGTCTTTGTTGCTCAGATCCTGAAGAATCCAAGAGAAAGAACAAAACACAGTTTAAATGAAGAGCTCACAAAGTGAATTCCAGCACAGAGAGACAGGAGGAAGCAGCAGAGGTGGAGACACGTTCAAACAGACGAGGAAGGATCCTTTTAACACTTCACTCAAATACTGCGACGGCAAAGTTCTGTCACATCGTCGGCTGCAGAGAAATAAAAATATGTTCGTCATGACTGGACCCTGGTGAGTTAAGACTCGTCTCCAGAACAGCAGGGGGCACTGCCTCCTCACTTTTATATTCTTCCCCCTCAGTTCTTCAAATGTATTTCAACCAGCTGTGTGTGTGTGTGTGTGTGTGTGTGTGTGTGTGTGTGTGTGTGTGTTACCGTGAAGAGTGCACACAGCCTCTCCACCTTCTCTGGATTCTTCGGGCCTCCGTTCTTGTTCAGTCTCACCATGAACTTCTCACTGTAAGACACACACCACAGCGGCTCGGTTAAACTCTGCACGTGCCTGAATGAGCAGCGTGATTACACCGTCCCATTTCGGAGGGTCCTACATATCCCAGGATTCATTGTGTTTCAGCGTCCTTCAGAGAGCGCATCCATGTGCAGCAATTTCCTCATCACACATCACTCGCACTCAAGGACAATTTGGGACTCAGTGTCCTGCCCAAAGGACATTTTGGCACATGGAATGGGGAAAGCTGGGGTTCGAACCGACAACTCACTCCACCTCCTCGGCCTCAGCCGTCTTGCGAGGCGACAGCGGTGAGGGCGGGACCAGGTCATGAAGACCCTGGAAGTCCACGCTGACATTTTCCTGTCTGTTTTTAATAAAACTCAAATCCAGGTGGAAAACTAAATGTGACCTTAAACCCTCAAGCATGTGGGGCCAGTAGATGAAGTCCACATCGAGAAGTGGGGACTTAAAGTTCTGCTTCCACGTGGACGAGAGGCTCAAACACGGGACACGGTTAGTTTTGCTAAATCTAAACGAATCACTGTGTCCCAGGATCTAAATGCTTCCAAGGCCAGAGACGGTGACGTCAGTGTCGGAAACGGCTGCGAGCTCATCAGCATATCCTCCTCAGCCACGCTCCAAGGTTGAGAAACTCGAGCAGTTTACCCCCGGTGCCCTCCCCGACTCCTCGGGGGGGTTTCTGGGAGATAGAAGTCTCTCAGATTTCTCCTCCTGCCTCCGCTCCGCTCCCCCGTCGGCAGTGAGGAAACTCTGAAGCAGCATGTCTCAGCCTTTCTTCGCTTCAGGGATCGGCAGAGAATTGTCTGCTGGTGTCAGCGACTCTGCTCCTTAACCCGTCTTTATCCAGAGGGAAGTGACTGAGCCCTCTTGTTTTTATTCAATAACGTGCAGCTTGACATTAATGCAGCTAAGCCTCAGATGGGGGGGGGTTCAGACACTAATCCAATGACATTTGCTCATGTTTCGTCTCTGTGATGTACACACACACACACACAGACACACACACACACACACACACACACCAGGCTACGAGGAGGATGATGCATCTGGAAGCACAATGGAGTGACGCAGCGTTGTGCTGAGAAATAAAGTAGAACATTTATTTCCTGCTGAAAAAGTGATGTAAATGCTGAGTTTCTGAATCGAGCTGAAAACGTACAACGTGACGTAAATGATGTCACCGGGTCCCTGTGTGATGTCACCACTCGGCCTCCCACAGATGCCGGCTTTAAAATCCAACAATGCCAGAAAAAGTGAATTTCATCTTCACTAAAGTTGCCGACGCTCAGTTTTATGTAAATCTGTGCAGGTCACGCTGTGAAAGGCTTTGTTGCATACAATTATATTAAGTTGTAAATATTATAAATCTGGAGAAAGTGTGGGAGAAGAGGAACAAAGCTCTGTGTTGAGTCAAATTATGGATTTGTAAAGTCTGTGGATATGTTTTGTAAGTGTCCTTTATCCACATGTTAAGTTCATGTAATATCTGAAGAACATGTCATTAATCTCAAGCTGGGACGAATCAAATGCAGAGAAGTAGAAAATAACAAATGTTCAAGTAACTAAACTTTCTTTGAGTTTTCTCTTCAGGGCTGTTCATCATCAGGTTGGTCCAGGAGCAAAGTTATTCTTTTATCTGTTCAACGATTTGTTTTAATTGACAAAAGGACAAATGACGTTTAATTAGCCGAACGTCTCCGTGAACAAAAAGGATCCTGACACTCGTCGTGTGTTCGTCACTTTCTCTGGATTTCGTTCCAAATGTTTTCTGGTAAAAACTGTGTCTCATCACAGAAAAGCACTTTTTTCCTCGGGCTCCATTATTCAGCTCATTCTCACAACGATCAATAAACAGCAGCAGGTCAACGCTGATGTTTACGCTGCAAACAACCACGGTGAGGCGCGACAAATCCCCACAATGCACTCTGTGTCCCACTCTTTGAACTAACAGTTGATCCTAATTCCCCAGAGACTCTGTGGACTAAACACACACACACACAGCAGGGGGGGTTCAAATGATGTCGTCACTACTGTTCACACACACACTCACACACATGCAGGAATAAACACACACACAAGATTGTACGAGTGAACAAAATATACACACGCACACACACACACAACCACTGACACTATGATATGTCCACATGGATTTGAAACAGGAAACAAACAACGTGGATATAATCAGAAAATGTCCTGTTTGATACAAACGTGTTCAAACACACATGCGCTGATTCTGCTGTGTGCATGAATACACATGCACACGCTCCGACATACTGTACACACATGTATGCATGGATGCACACAGTCACGTGCACACACGATGCACACACACACACACACAGGCAGGGGCACATATACTATATGAAAATGCATATGAACCAATAACTTCCACTCGATTGAGGGTTTGTGATGTTGAAGCAACACATGTGACACACACACACACACACACACACACACACACACACTCACACACACACACACACACACACAGAGTAATCTGTGTGTGGAGCTCTGGTCTATATGTGTCTATTTGAATATAGAACAGGGACATGGGATTCGAACACACGTGGTCACGGAGACTCACTGTAATAATAATAATAATAATAACTCAGGTGTGAACTAACGTGTGCAGAGCGACTTGTGATCAGATCACCAGAGACGCTCGTTACTTCAGGGATGAACGAGGCCGCACACCCTCTCCACCATCTTTACACTCCCTCCACGTGAGAGCGTCATGAACTCATGTTCCTCGTGCTTATATAACAGGAAGAGAACAACACAGGACGCCACTGACCGGCTGCACACACACACACACACACTGACATTAGCTAACCTTTACCTGTTAGCATTGTGATTGCTCCACTAATGTATAATGGACGTTCATTACGATGGGGGTGGGGGGGTCATGTATTATTCAGAGCAGGTCTGTGCAGCCACTTACCACAGTTTGTTCTACGTTATGAAATATGTCATGTACGAGAGAGAGAGAGAGAGAGAGAGAGAGAGGGGGAGGATGAGAGAGGGAGGGAGGGAGAGTGTGATGGGGGGATAATGGTCCAGGAGGACGAGTGAGCGGAGGAATGAAGGATCCAACATGTACGTGTTGTTCAGCTCTGTGCCAATAAAGCAGGTTTGTATTCCTGATCCCTGGAGACACAGTGGACTAAACAGACACACACAACAAGAGGGAATAGTGTGTGTGTGTGTGTGTGTGTGTGTGTGTGTGTGTGTGTGTGTGTGTGTGTGTGTGTGTTGTGTGTTGTGTTTCCCACCTGATGGTCTTTCCCTCTCTCAGGTCGTACAGAGAGAAGAAGATGTCCGTGTCCTCTCCGATGCTGTTGTAGGTGAAGCTCTTCAGGTTGACCAGTAGGTGGTGCGGTACCGGAACTCTGCACGGGTCGCCGTGTCGCTGCCGCGTACTGTCGCCCTGGAAACCAAAGACAAAACATGGATACTCTCGTGTTTCCTTTGACACATTCGTGTGATTGTTGTCATAAAACTAAGGTTTGGGGAAAATGTCTCGACACAAAGGGATTATGGGAGTGTTTTCACTTATTCCTGTTTAAGAAATAAAACCCAACGAACTTTCAAGACCAAGCACGTCACTAAAGTACACGATTACTTCAATATACTGCACAGAGATGGATGGAAACTGGTGTTACTGCAGTACTGTACCTGTGTGGTGCTCTGCTGAACACTGTGTCTGCTGGACAGATGCTGTGGAAGAGACACAGTTAATTATAAAATGTTCCGTTGTCATAAAACAACCCAACCTTCATTTATACTCTGTCACTTCATCTCCTCGTGTTTTAATCTGAAGCTCGATGAAGTTTGATTTGATCTCATCTGGTCTTTTCTTCATCTCGACCTTTTTCTCGGACAAATACAAAAACGGAGACGAATAAACAGCACGAGCTTTGTCTCCATTTCAGAAAACAAACAGAGCAGAGATATAACTCCATCCTGTCTGAGTAACTTTCTCCTGTTTGTTCCTGTTGTTCTCATCAGTGTGAAAACGTCCGTAAACCAAACAGTCAGAATCTGACGGAGCTGAAAAAGCTGATTTATTCTACATGATGTTTGTATAATATTTATTTCTCCGTCTGCGGGTTCTCTCCATCCTTCCGTCTGTAAACTTCACCACTTCAGCCTCTGTCTCTCTTCCTTCCTTTGTCTCGTCCTGTCTCCAGATCAGTCTCTAGGCAACAGAACAAAGGGGGAATCGCCACGACAACAGTGTTTGACTGGTACAGCTCAGCTATTTAAAGCAGCTGATGTAAGAAAACTGAGCATCAAGTGTTTCTAAGAGACGGAGAATCCTGCTCACCTCACTAATTAGCTGCAGTTTTATATAATATAATAACGATTAAACGTATTTTCCTTTTTATTTAACAGTTTTAAGCTGTAAACTAAATTACAAGAGTTTTCTTCAAAGAAATACATTGTTAGGGTTGAAAAAATCAAGAAAAATCTTAACTATATCGCCACCTAGAGTTTCAAACCACCTTCGACTTTGCAGATCCGTCAGATCCGGACACTCGTTTTTAAAATCTACACTGAAACTAAAGCTCAGGACGTCCGTGAGGTGAGTGACTCCTTCACTCCCCGAGCGTCTGTTCGATCTCCTGTGAGAGGAAGTGACCGAGAGTCTCAGCTTGAAGAGTGAAGCTGATCTGTGATCAGTTCGAAACACTGACACGTTATTAACAACCAGCAGTTTATCTCCGATGTTCAGCAGGAAACTGAGTTTAGAGTTTGGTGGATTTGTTACAGCAGCAGCTCGCCCAACAGAATCACCACATGTGGCAGCAGGGGGCGCTGCTGCTCAGCAACAGTTACATAGTGATGCTTTAATGTTCAGCAACAACATTTCGTACCATTTTATAAAGATCGGAGACGCTGATCTGCTCCTCGTCCACCATCTCAAACTCCTTCCTCGGCACCAGGTCCAGACCCATGTGTCTGAGAGAGAGAGAGGGAGAGAGAGAGAGAGAGAGAGAGAGAGAGAGAGCACTCAATCAGTGTCTTTTATATAACCTTCATGCAAACACACACACACACACTCAGGTAATTTCAGATGTGGCCTCCAGGGACTTTGTCGTCTCGTGGATTACTTTATTATTATTTTTGTTCCATCTCAACGAGCACATCCTTCACCTGCAGGAGACCGACCTCGGCCTCCCACTGTCAAGAGTTAACGCGAACGTAAAGGTGTCTCCCGCTTCGCCTCCCCCCTTTCTGCCGTTACACTCCGGGTGTGTGACATTTCCGTCGTCAGTTTGAGCTCGACAGCGTGAAAACAGGCGGCGCTTATTGACCGTCACATATGGAATCTAATCATAGTCACAGCAGCAGAAACGAATAATACTGTGTCCAGTGTCTGAATGAAACTGGAATAAACACTCCAGAGAACCTTTAATGCTACTTAAAATAATAATAATTAAATAATATTAAATAACCTGCGCTGGAATCCACACTTCTTCATTTCTATCTCCCATGAGCCTTTGCAACTACCTTCATCCACCTGTTTTATTTGTCCTCTGTAGATGTCGGGGGACAAAACTGATCTTCCACCTGGAGGACAAGAGGCTGAAATCTTCACAGTCCCCGAGCACGAACAAAGCTATTTCTCGGAGTTGTGTCATATTTAGCCTGAGAATAAGCAAGCAACCACTTCTGGTTTTCAAAATAAAATGTATACATATACATTATGTTCACATGAAGTGTAAAAATGTTCCCAGTAAATAAACATCCACTAAATATGAAATATCATCACAGAAGATCCACTCGAAGGGATTTAAAGTCTGATTTTATCTTCTCTGATACTACAATGTTCATCTGTAAGTCGTTTATAAACCTTGTGTTTTTGTACCTACTTGCACAAATAGTGTAAAGGTATTTTTACTGTGTAGTTCTAAAGTAATCTGAGGCCAAAGTATCTACTTGAATACACATTTTAGTCTAATTTTAATGTGGGATTTAAAGTATTTCTTCCATAATGAGCCTGATACCTGTAAACTTCCTTCTTAACCTACTTGTACAAATACTGCACACCACATACTAATACTATATTTATTCATTTTATTTAAAGGGGCAATTTTTCATTTACATGGTGACACATTGTGCAGATGTACATTTTCCCTGTTTTAGTGTGTGTGTGTGTGTGTGTGTGTGTGTGTGTATTCTCACTCATTGCCCCAGTCCAGTCTGACGGTGATGTGCCGTTTGACGTCCCGGCTCTGGTCCTGCGTCAGGTGACCGGACAGCAGCTGCCTCCTCAGGTCGATCAGCTCCATCATCACGTGACGAACCTTGTAGAACAGATCCACCTTGTGTTTCTGACGGAGAGAGACAGAGCTTCGCATTAATCTGTGTCACAAACAACCTCAGTGTGCCGTCATCCTCTGGCAGTGAGCGAGGGCGCCACCACCAGGCCTGCGCTGCGGTCGATTCCTCCGAGGCTCTGGCACAGAAACAGCAGCTCACACAGCTCAGGTCATTCCTGCTTAACCTCCCAGGGGGAGTCGGATGCTGTGCCAGCGTGCGTTGGATGAAGAGAAACACTGTGAGCTGATCGCAGCTCAAGTCAACAAACACGTCCACTGTGTCCAAATCTCTGCTCGGCACGCTGGAGGTCTGACCGGGGAATCAAACCGTCAACCCTCTTGTTGTGAGCTACACAGAAGATGTTAACACAAAGACAGTCCACAGGTTCTTTACTCCATTAGAAGTACAGATACTCAATCTAACCTCAGGTAGAAGTATAAACGTTCAGGCTTTGACATAAGTGGAAAAGTAAAGAGAGAGAGAGAGAACTATTGTGTTCCTAATATACTTCTGTACATTTACAATAAACTCACATGAATACAACCGTGTGTCCTCCATTGTTCGAATCACTTTTTAGGAAGTACAGGATATTTCTCAACTCTCACTTTTGCTGGCTGCTACACAATAAAACTCTCCTTTAATCAAACTGCTTCCTCTCCACGCTGCTCTGTGTGTGTGTGTGACAGTTCACAGGATGTTTAGGTTTCCTGTTGTCACATTTATTTTTTAAATGATGAAACACCTTTGAGGCGTCGTGTCCTCAGAGAATCGACGTCTCCCGTAGCTCCGTCCCGACACAGCTCAACGATTAGCATGTTTTTAGTGCTCGAGGTTAAAAATACTACAACTTTTAGACACCGAGCGCCACGTTACACCAGCAGTTGCTTAGCAACAAGAGTCGTGTACAGCAGCTCAGCATCTGTTTAGCATTTGTTTTTCAAGGAGAAGCCCGGTGGACTCAGAACCTCTGTGAGGGTCCACATTCAAATTCTACATCCACATGTGACTCAGGGGAAGATTTTACATATGATCTTAGTGGAGAGAGAAAAGTTGACTTTCATTACAATTCATTACTTTCACACAAACCAAATTCATTTTCTCATTAATATCTTATTTCATCCACTAACAGTCGAAAAACAATTGAAGTGCACGAAGTCACGAAGACCGAGGTCCAACAGCCAACTCATGAAAACACAATTCAATAAATACGTCTGATCATCAAGCTCCGTGAATGATTCTCTGAGAAATCTCACAATAACAAAGTTCTACTGAGCGACACCAACTATTATTATCTCTATACTAAACCATGATATTATCTTATTCTACAGCTTTACTCTAATTAAAATAGTCTTGCACTATGGGTTCAATCACTATTTTACTATTTTACCAAAAACATATAATACTCATCTCTATGTAAAGTTAGAGGCACAATATCAATCATTTAGAATTGATATTCAACTCATTCACAATAAGTACAAGTACAAGTACACGGGGACAGTAACATTGCTGACCACTGTTTTGTTCTGCTGTTACAGTCATGGTTCTTTTTACTGTGTACAAATACGGAACATCCTCCTTCACAGTCTCGTTCTGGGTTCTTTTTGTTCTGCTGCACAATTTCTTTTTCTAGTTTGGTTTGTGAGAAATTCATCTTTTGTTTAGCTGTAAACTTTATATCAGGACTAATGATACAAAAGAAAAAAGAAATGTAAACTAACCAACAACATTATCCATGATTAACACAACAGGACGATGCAGGAAAGTAAAATTCCCATGTCTCTTAATGATGAAAACCCGACGGTTAGATTTATTTGAAAGGAATTTCAGTGGCTGTAAATACATGAGAGCTTCTCAGCCTCTGCCCGTCCACGTTATTTCATCTCCACAGTTCACTCACTGAGCTAATATATAAAAGCTCATATATAACCAACTCCTGAGGGAGCTCCTCAATCACAGCAGCAGCAGCAGGAGTCAGCAGTCAAGGCCCCGAGTGTGATACAGACCAGAACCAGGGCGACACACAGAATACACACCGCTCTTATTTACAGCAGAGAGACAGAGGGAGGGAGGGAGGGAGACAGGGAGAGAGAGGCTCTCTGACACATTCACTCCAGAGAGCTGCCCGACACTTGCTGCCTATTGTCAGTCTCTGGAGCCTCCGGGGGGAAAGTGTGAAGTATGAGCTCAGCTGGAGTTCAGGGAGTCTGTGATTCTCCTCAGAGAAAAACCTCCATGTTCTTCATGTGCTCCAGATTCACTGCACAGTTTAGTACATGTGGAGTTAATGACTCAGGTTCAGGAGCAGGACCACTCCTCTAACTACCCATCAACCTCTCTCA